TATTGATCCTGGTGATGTTCTCCCGCAGTCTGATCAGATCTATTGATTACCATGTCACTGTGTGTGTTTCAGAGTCTTCCTCAGAGTTTGTGGAGCAGCTGGGACCCGTTGGCCTCCCACATGACATCAACGTCCAATCACTGTTCGACCCCACAGGTCAGTGCTGTGCTCACCTGCAGTGTGCCGCCTGGTCAGAGGGGGTGTGTCGAGGCGAGGGCCAATCGCTGCTCTACGTGGACAAAGCCATCGACTCGGGGAGCACACAGGTGGGTTTGTGTTACCTGACCAATAACCACACGCACTGTATACAGACTCGCTAAGCTCCGCCCCCCTCTCACCTGTCCCCAGGTGTGTATGTTCTGCCGTCGGCTCGGAGCGTCGCTGCGTTGCCAGGAGACAAGCTGTGGGCGGAACTTCCACTTCCCCTGTGCTGCTGCTGCTGGAGTTCATCACGACTGGACCCACAGACACACACTGTGTAAAAGACACACACACTCAGGTACACACGCACACACACTGTGTACAAGACTCACACACTCAGGTACACGGACACACAATCAGGTACACACACACTGTACAAGACACACACACTCAGGTGCACACACACTCAGGTGCACACACACTCAGGTACACACGCACACACACTGTGTACAAGTCACACACTCGGGTATACACACACCATGTACAAGACACACACACTCGGGTACACACACACACTGAGTACAAGTCACACACTCGGGTACACACACACCGTGTACAAGACACACACACTCGGGTACACACACACACTGTGTACAAGACACACACACTCAGGTACACACACATTGTGTACAAGACACACACTCAGCTACACACACACACTGTGTACAAGAAACACAGACACTGTGTACAAGACACACACTCGGGTACACACACACACACACACTGTGTACAAGACACACACACACTTCTTCTTCTGTGGTACAGATATTTAGGTATTATATTGTTATTCAGACAAACAGGACTTTATTCATGTTTTGTGTATTTATTCCTCGATGTGTGTCCAGTGACATCACAGTGTGTGTTGTGTTCGAGTGGTGATGACATCAGCGGTCTGTTGATGTGTTGTTGCTGTGGGAACTGTTACCATGGCAGCTGCCTGGACCCTCCTCTGGCCCCTTCCCCCCTATGCCGGGCCGGCTGGCAGTGTCCTCAGTGTCGAGTGTGTCAGAGCTGCAGGTAACACACACACACACACACACACACACACACACACACACACAGAGACACTGACACACATACACACTGACACACGTACACTTGTAGATTTGTCCACACAGTCTGAGAGAGTAAAGGCAGCTGAAGAACCAGATTTTATTGTTTACAATAATTGTTGTTGTTTCTACAAACAGAGTAGCAGGATTAAAAGTTGCTTGACCTCGCGTTACCTTTCATTTTTCTGTTCATCAAAGTTGTGTGAATCCCGTCAGACAGACTGGTACTGCTGTTTTTTTTTCTCAAAAAAATGTTTGTTGTCGGCCCTTAAAGTGACAGAATGCTTGTGTGAAGAATGAAGGTGACGAGTGTTTAGTCTGAAGTGCACTAACCCCAAAACTCTGTGTGTGTGTGTGTGTGTGTGTGTGTGTGTGTGTGTGTGTGTGTGTTAGGGTGCGAGGGGATGACAGTGTGTTGCTGGTGTGTGAGCGCTGTGATAAAGTCTACCACACACACTGTCTCACACCTCCTCTGGATCTCACTCGGAGCCCTGGCTGGAGATGCAAGGTGAGATAAACACATCCTCAAATACAAACTTTGACCTGAAGACATACCTGTTTTATATATTTAAACCTCTCTCTCCTCCAGAACTGCAGAATCTGCCGTCTCTGTGGTGTGAGGTCATCAGGCCAGTGGGCCAATCACCCGTTTCTGTGTGAGTCATGTGACCTGGCCCTGCCCTGCCCATTCTGTGACCACGCCCCCGACCTCTGCACACCACAGGACTATGTGACCTGTTCCTGCTGCTACAGGTATGAACTCAACACAAAGTTAAACTTCCTGTTTACTGTCGGCAGCCTAAAAAACACATCTAGTTTATTCAAATCATTTATCAGTAATGATTACGAGATGCTTCTTTTGACGAACATCGGACTCTACACGCGTGCGGATCCGGTAGCCGACGCGTGCGGATCCGGTAGCCGTTGTGTTCCGAAGTGTTCCGACACGTGCCGACCCGGTAGCCGACGCGTTCCGACCCGGTAGCCGACATGTTCCGACACCTGCCGATCCAGTAGCCGACATGTTCCGGCGCGTTTCCGATCCGGTAGCCGGCGCGTTTCCGATCCGGTAGCCGGCGCGTTCCGATCCGGTAGCCGACGTGACGACATCAATCTTTTCAATTGATGCATGTTTCTCTTTCAATCTGTTGTCCTTGGAGTTGCTTAATACCCTCAAAAAGCCATAAAGTCTTCTGCAGTGCACAGCGAAAGTCATGTGGAACTTTCTTTGAGAATGATTTAAGATTCAGCAAACATACACATTTAAATCTTTGTGTTGGGTTACAGGTGTGTCCATACAGAGTGCATCGTCCAGGCTGGGGAGGGCAGGGCGCAGTCTGAAGATTACATCTGCACCGCCTGCAGGCCTCAAGAAGAAGCACCAAACCCACACCCTCTAGTCCCATTCAGTCCCACTCTGGCCCCGCCCCTCAGTCCCACAGAGGCATTACCTATTAATATTACCCAGCCACCAATTCCAACTCACACAGAAGCTCTGCCCATCAGTCTTACCGCTCATAACCCAGTCCAGCTCATGAGCTTAGACCCACCACAGAGTCCTACCAAAATCCTTTGTACACCATCGCAGCAAAGTCTTACACCATCCCACCCTGAACCCACAGAGCTCCAACATAGTCTTACACCATCCCACCCTGAACCCACAGAGCTCCAACAGAGTCCAGCACCATCTCCCTCTGAACCCACAGAGCTCCAAGAGAGTCCTGCGCCATCTCCCGCTGAGCCCACAGAGCTCCAACAGAGTCCTGCGCCATCTCCCTCTGAGCCCACAGAGCTCCAACAGAGTTCTGCACCATCTCCCTCTGAACCCACAGAGCTCCAACAGAGTCCTGCACCATCCCACCCTGAACCCACAGAGCTCCAACAGAGTCCTGCATCATCTCCCTCTGGACTCGCAGAGCTCCACCAGAGTCCGGCACCGTCTCCCCCTGGACTCGCAGAGCTCCACCAGAGTCCGGCACCGTCTCCCCCTGGACTCGCAGAGCTCCACCAGAGTCCGGCACCGTCTCCCCCTGGACTCGCAGAGCTCCACCAGAGTCCGGCACCGTCTCCCCCTGGACTCGCAGAGCTCCACCGGAGTCC